ACACACACACACACACACACACACACACACACACACACACACACACAGGTTGCTGTATGCAGGATATATTTTCACTGCTTATTATCAATAGTATTCATCATATGTATATTATTAGCCCAATTTACTGTGGCTGCATTTCATTAATCAAGTCTTGTCAAATGAATAAAGCATAAAGCTAATCATCAGAACAATACATACAACAATACATCTCTTGGCACAGATGAGACAAATTACATATCCATCCAGCTTTATATGGAGTTACATTTGTGCTTCAGTTGTGGGAATGCAATGGGACATTTTCAGAACAATGTTTTTTTTGTCGAGAAATGATCATCACCTTTTCATCATTATTATCAAATAATAATACTGGTTTGTACAAACAACCATAGGACTTCCAACCAGGCGTCCGCGTCCAGTCCGAAACCAAGTCAGCTTTGACTTATTTTACTTACTTTTGTTTCGTACTCTACGAACGCCAGTTCCGTGGACTTTTGAACTCCAACCACAATCTTTTCGTAAACCTAACCAAGTAATTTTCTTTTGCATAAGTAAACCTAAAATCAAAGTATACCGTAGGTGGACCTTTTTTTACCGAGAGCGTCATGGTTTGAAGCGTAGGACCTAGTTGACCAGATGGGAGTGAGAACGTGTTGTGCTGGCTGGCTACTGAGTTAGCGGTTAGCTCGGCAGCTACAGCTCACCTACTAGCCCTGGTAGTAGTCCCTACATCAGCAAACTTCTATAACCAAATATATGGCACAGATACATTGCCTTGAGCCACTTCCTGGTGTGCCAGGGTCTTACGTCCCCGGCTATAGTCTGATGAATTACACTCAAAATATGAGTGTATGGAGGTGGGGAAAGAGTCTAGAGATTATTTAAACGATATTATCATGTGTGTATCATTAACACAATATCAATATTTCACTTTGTAAATATCCTGGTTATTGTCAGTACAGGTACATTGCACCAACCCCAATGTGGATAATAGCCAACATGCAAATCAATGTATTAGCACAGAATGGAGATTGTGTTGTTGTTGCTCAAATCCACTTATTCTTTGCGTGATGATTTTTGTATGACTTGTTTGAAGAAATTTTAATTTCTGTGCTCCTGTCCCATCTCATGCTCAGAAATGTGACACAAATACACTGCCATAGTTACACATCGCATTTTAAAGTTTGTGTGATAAGTACATAATAGCCCAATCACTGCGAGAGGAATCGGCACTCACAGTACACACACA